GAGCGGCCGGAGTCTCAGCCCGCCCCACCCTCCGCTTCCTGAAAAGGTCGGAGGCCTCAAGTCGGAGCCTACAGGCTCCTGAAGAGAAAACTAAAACCAACAGACTTAGGGCGTAACCCGGAGCAACCCGCTTTGATTTTGCCGGGTTTGGCAAAAGCTGTGGTTGCCAGATTTAGCAAATAAAAACGCGGGATGCGCAGTTAAATTCTGCCCAGTTAAATGTGAGTTTCAGCTCAGCGACCAATAATTTGAAATAATAGTTATGCTAAAAAAGTACTCGTGATCGGGCAGCCCTACCCCAAGCCAGGCTCAGGAAGGCTCTTAGCACTTTTAGGACAAACTTGAGCCCATGAGCTTGTCTGAGAAGTGAGCACAGCAGCAGTTCCTCGCAGGGTGGTTGTGATGGCTGGAGGTGAATGTGTCCCCGGGCCTACACCTAGTGGGATTTCAATAAATGGGGTCAGGACTGTAACGCTGAGAAGGAGGAATGCGGGAAAGAAAGAAGGCGACTGGGCTTTCGTCCCCGATCTGCTCGTCCCCTCCCCAGCCCACCAGGCTTGATTGGACAGCTTTTTGTCCCCTCACGGACTCCCCAACCCTACCCCTGGATGAATTCTCCAAACTGCTCTCTGTCCACGTGGGAAATGGAGTTGCTGTTGTCATTCCCGTGAAAAGAAGGGGGTCTGGTTCTCAGTCTGTCCAAAGGCATTCGTGCCCAGACTGAGGGCAGCCAATGCAGCTGGAGCAAGGGTTAGTTAAAAATCTAGACAGGTGTAAACGAACCGTGGTAACTGATGTTGGTACAGAGCTTTACCAGTCACAAAGTAACTGGACTTCACATCCATCCTTGGTAGATTGAGTTACTCTTGGCATTTTTTTACAGACGTCAAGGTAAGAAATATCCAAACTTTATGAGTCAAACCGAAGACATATGCTGGGGAGCAAGGTCCCAAACGCTACGTAGTTTTGCAATTTCTTATATGCATTTGAAATTAAGGAAGATTAGAGAAAGCAAGGCCGGGGATGAACTACAGGAGAGTTAACAAAACCATGTGCTCTCCTGAGGGTTAATATCGCCTTTGAGGGTTATTACTGCTGGTATGTCAGAGGTGTGTTAACTTAGATGCACAAGAACAGCGAACAGGGCCGGCTTAAAACCTTTCACTAAAGACCACATGCCTGGGGCATGACTACCCACCATGACCTGCCCAGTTAGGAATTTATGATCATATCACCCTGTGAGGTTATCTTCCATAGAACCCTTTCATTTCCATCCATACAGATGAGGAAACTGTTCCCTTAAACTAATTAAAATTTTGCTCAAGAGTTTCATCTTCGAGTGGAGAGAATGGGATGAAGACTCAGAATTCTCAATGACAATATCTTGCCCTACACACCCGTAACAGGTGAAGTTAGGGCGATGGTTATCAGGGAGCTTGCAAAAGACCACGCATTCCACCCGCTACCGAGCAACAGACCAGAAAAATCGTGTAGGTTCGACCGAATGGGTCCCATTCTTCAGCGAACATCCACCTTTTGTGTTCAGGGTGGGTCTGCAAGGCAAGTTTGTCAACACAGACACACAACTTAATCTGAAATGCAGAAAAAGGTGAAGGGAGGCTGGATCACTCTTTAGACACACTCAAAGATCCATGAGAGAAATTATCCAAATAGAAGCTCAGGACCTTATGAAGTAGAGAGCCCCCCTCCCCCCAAGGCATATCTGATGAAAACTTAAATGAGTAGATAAAACAAGAGCTGGAGTATAGTGGTTATTAGGTAGCACTGAATGAACAATCAATGGAAAGAGAAAGGCAAGTAAGCACAAGGGTTTCTTGTTAGGTTTCTGTTGGCTTCTACTGGATTTTCCATTGGAGCAGTTCAAGTGAAAGAGCTTCTCTTGAGGGGCTGTGTTAGGCCCTGCAGCTACAAACATCCCGGAGCAAGGCATCTGCCTTCTAGGCGCCCAGCATCCAGAGGGTCAGACTAGACCAAGTCCCCTCCCTCAAGGAGTTAGATGGAAATTTAACTGAGATGCTAACAGTGCAATTTTACACTCTTCCCTTGTTTGATTCTCACAACAACCCTGAGAAGTTGTACCATTACCTCGCTTTATAGATGAGGAAACCAAGGTTCTACGAGGGGAAATGATCCCCAGAATCATGTCAATCAGGGGCAGAATCAGGACCTGTCTTGTCTTTTCTTTCCCTGAACTATAGAAGTTTGGCAGTGTTCTTGCTGCTGATGAAACCACAGTGAACAAAACAGATGAAAGTCTCCACCATTGCGGCGCTCAGTCTAGTGGGGAAAGAAAGATGATAAGGCAGAGGCGCCAGACAGAGTGTGTTTTGATGAAGTCTGCAGATGGAATGTCATTATGTTAGCATCTTCTTTTCAAAAAACCGTGAGCTTGAACTTTTTTTTGGAAAAACAAGCAAGAATTTATTGATGGCAGCAAAAACCAAAAACATAGTTAAGACAGTGAACGAGGAAGGACATAGAAGCAACAGGGGAGCCTGGGCTGGGCCGCTTTGGCTCATCGGGAAGTCAGAGAAAAGGGGGCCTTAGAGACAGGCTCAGGGAATTAGCCTGGGACGGGATGAGCTGCCGCTGCCCATTTTTCCCCCGGTTGCAAATCTGTGGGATCCCTTGGAGTTTAGGAGATACAGGGAAGGAGAGGGGGAAGGGAATGGCATGGGCATGCTCCCTGGAGGGACAGCAAGCCTGAACATTTTTATAATTAAAATGTGGGAAAATATAGTGGCTAGATGCATGCTATAGAGTAAAAGCAGGGAGGAAAGACGGGAGAGTTGCAGTTTTAATCAGAGTGGCCAGAGAAGGGAAACATTTAAACAAAGAGCTGAGGTTGATGAGGGAGTGAACCACGTGAAAACCCAAGAAGGAGTATTCCAGATGGAGGGAACAGCAAGAGCAAAGGCCCTGAGGCAGGAGTTTATCTTGCTTGTTTCAGGAAAAACAAGGAGGCTAGTGTTCCTGGAGCAGAGTGAGAGAGCAGAAGCATAACAGGCAATGAGGCCAAAGGGCTATCAGGGCCTGTAGGACAGTGGGGACCTACAGGACATTTTAAAATTTTTTCTTTCACTCTGAGGGAAATGGGGAGCCATGGATATTTTTGAACAGAGGAGTGACCTGATCTGAATTATATTTTAGCAGTTCTGTTATGGAATAGACTATAAGGGCAAGGCAGAGGCTGGGAGATTAGAGAGGAGGCTAATGCAGAAATCCAAGCGAGGACAATGGTATGATTATCCTGTCACTTAATCATCACAACTGTAGAGACATTACAGATTGGCTTTGTGTTATGACAAAATGTGTAAGCTACAGAGGGCATTGTGAGAAGGCATTGCTGAACTTGTCCCGTAGGAATCTTTCTGAGATGACTCTTGAACAGGGGTAGGCAAACTGTCTCACCTGCCACCTGTTCTGTCAACAGAGTTTTATTGGAACACAGCCACACCAT